TGGAGGGCCCCTCCCACCCAGACTATTCCATGATTCTATGATTCAAAACCCAATTGGGAGCTGCCTAGCCAAACGTGCCTTTGGTTAACTTCCTCCTGGAATTTCACCTGGTTCTGTAATCCCGCTTGTTTTCCGAGCCACTGCTTTTTTAGCTCCGAGTAGCTATTTGCTGGGGTCGGCACACGTGCCGAGCAGCTCACGTTGACTACCCAAAAAAGCCAAATAACCACAACATTACAAAAAGTAAATACCTGTTCCTGAGCCAGATGTGTAAAATACAGGGACTCCAACCAGTTAAATCCTACCCTACATGCCTGTAATGAACAGGAGGAAAAACTCCAAATATCTTAAAATTGGGTAATATTTCTGGAAGCACCAAAGTGAACTAGATGCTTATTGTTTGGAAAAGCATCAGATGATCAGATGCATCAGATGATGCTTTTCAGACTCAAGTGATCAGAGTCGGCTATGTTTGAGCACCTGCACCTCCAACCAAACTGCTGCCCAAAAGCTAACAAATCTCAGGGTCTATTTTATCCTTTTCTGGCATTTTTCATTACTTATTGTCTGTAACGTACTACTTTGGCAACAAGGGGAAAACGACATTTAAACCTTCCTCCTGCAGACCGCACACTGACTCCACGTCAGACCTGGCACCTGCCATCACGTGGGGCTTTGCTCCACTCTTCCGTGCGACCGGACCTGCCAGGAGCCCGGGCCCGGATCTCCTGTGCAGACAGACAGGCAGACAGACGGACAGTGCTCCTGTGACATGGCTCAGTGGCTAAACCCAGCCACAAACCTTTCTTAAAACAAACCTGTTCTAAATATTTTCTTAAAAACAAAACCCCTGTGACGAGAAAGCTGTAAGACACCCTCACACGGGACGTCTGGAACCACGGTGTCCAGAAGGGCCATGGAATTCGTGAAGCCCAGTGACACGAGGGGCTGACACCAGCGCAGAGCAGGACCCCCGCCCCAGGAGATCCCTTTCGCACCTGGTGAAAACAGCCTTCTCGTTTTTGGCATCCATGGTCAGCTTGATGGTCTCCTGGCCCGAGCCCGTGCTGATGGTTTCTGTGACGGTATCAGCTTTATCCTCCTCCTCATCGCTGTCGGAGCCTCCGGAGGAGCTGCTGTCCGAGGCCACCAGCGGCGCTTTCCTCGTGACGCAGACGTTCCAAACGCAGGGAGAGGCAGTGCTGACTGGGAGGAGGAAGTAAAGCACATTGCAAAATGAACGAGACCCCAGCGCCAGCTCCCCAGGTACGACCCCGAGTAAGCACGGCGGTGTAAAACGGAGCGCTTACAACGACTGCAAATTCTGAGACAATATTTTCCGTGCGGATCCCACGGCACGTGATATTATTTTTGCAAGTAAGGAAAAAAAAAAAACCCACACAGCCCCACAAATCAGTGTTCTCCACTGCTAAACCACGCCTGGGGTTAACACCACCAGCAGAGGAGACTGTTTTCCTCGCTCGCTGAACGGTGACAGCTCTGAGCAGCGGGCTGAGGCTGTCCCCTGGGTCCCTGCTAACCCATCTCGGCTCCGACAACTCGCTGCGGCACGATTTAGGCAGCTGCCCTTCCTGATGCATCCATTGGTTTCGGTCCCACACGCACACCTGGCAAGGAAAACCCCTCACGGAAGAGGCCACGAAGCCCTGCAGCTTCAGAGAGTGTTCTGCTTCCCAAAGCCAGTGCCTGGATGGCTGAGTCCCCATCCCTGGATGTGTTTAAGAATAGGGTGGATGAACTGCTTAGGGATATGGTTTAATGGGGATTAGGGACGGTTGGACTGGATGATCTCTAAGGTCTTTTCCAACCTAGAAATCTATGAAATCTATGCTCACACAGACTGGTCGCTGCTGGGGCGCACACCTAAAGCCACCCCAGCCACTCTGAGCTCTGCTGACCTGCATCCCCAGCTCCGCTGGGAGAGCACACCGGAAAACGCACGTGGCAGGAAAAGGCACGGTGCTATCCCGCCCGTCAACATCCACCTCCCAGTGGCTGCTGCAGACAGAGGTTTAATTCAGCTCCACCAAAGTCTTTTGTTAAATTTTATTTTTCCTCGCTCAGAAAGGAGGAGGGAAAGAAATCAGACTGAAGCTGGCCAACTGGCTCAGCACGATCACCAAGCATGTCACCTACCCTGTCCTTTTAATTTTTGGCAAGTCATTTTATAAATCAATCATGCAGTTAATGTAGGGCTTTGGAGCAGTTTACAAATGAAGTGTCTCTGTGACAGCGACTCTCACTAACTTCAATTTCATTCTCTTCTTGCTGAATAATATTATTCCAACAAACACTCGGGATTTTCACCACTCTCAGGGTGGTGAGGCACTGGCACAGGTTGCCCAGAGAAGCTGTGGCTGCCCCATCCCTGGTAGTGTTCAAGGCCAGGTTGGATGGGGCTTTGGGCAACCTGGTGTAGTGGAGGGTGTCCCTGCCCATGGCAGGGGGGTCAGAACTGGATGGTCTTTGAGGTCCCTTCCAACCCAAACCATTCCATGATTCTGTGATTTCTGAGTTACTATTTTAACAGATTGATCTCTGTACGAAGGAGAGCCTTCAGGTCAGACAGGGCAGATGGCCCTGGAGGAAACTTCTCCCTACTAGACTCGGCATGCTCCGCAGAACTTCCAACAGCCTGAATAATGCATCTGTTTTGTCCTGTAACGTTCTCACTTACAGTTCTTGTCCTGACTCTGCTTCACGTTTCCATCCGAATCACTGCTTTCTGTGTCGACCGGAGAACTGCATCGTGGACCTGATTCTGAGCTGAAGTAGGGGGAAAAAGTCTTGAGAATGAAGTAAATCTCGGTTGTGCTTCCAAATATCCCCAACGGACGAAATCGTTAGGGCTTTTAACTTCCAAAAAACTTACTTATTTACTCATTTTATACTCCTAGAGTAGCAGCAGTGACGATACATAAATTATTCCTGAATCACAAGACATGAATGCTAACACCAGTTAGAAGCACCGGAAGGCAACGGGAAGTAGGAAGCCCTGATCCGGAATACTCGGACAATATTTCAAAATAAAAGGGGTAGCAAGGGGAAGGGAAAACGAAAAGATTACAGTCAGTGTGCTCCATGAAACCCTATTTCAAATGTTATTTCATTCAAAAGTCATGAAGAAAATGAAAGAACGCGTGCCTCTTACCAACAGAAAGGCTGGAAGTCTGTAAACTTCGCCCACCCTTTCTCCTCCGGCGTGGTGCTCTCCGGGGCTGCCGAATCCCAAACGCTCGACCCGACGTCCATGGCAACGCAGGGCACGGGGGGCTTGGCATTCACGGGCTCGAACACAGCTGTCCAGCCAGACCCTGCGGGCACGCAACAACAGACGGGAGTTCCTGGGAGCTTTCACAATCTTTGGCCATCTCAAAAATATTCCAAAGTGCTCCCAGAGACAAAAAAAGGAAGACCATCCAATGGCACTCTTCTGAAACCTACAGGAAGCTGCCTGTCTCACAGGTTATAGACAAGCAGCTTGAAAATCCCTCTTGTGATAAATATTAATGTTATGCACAAGAAAGGGGCACCAGTTAAGGAAAATGACATGACGAACGTCTTCGTTCCTTGAGCTGGTGACCTTCAGCTGAGCTCCAAGCACCTCAGTTCCCGGTCAGAAGCTCAGCGGCACGGTCTTCCAACCATGTCCATCACTAACTCTTTAATTTTGGGAATCACCAGTAAGGAATTGATATACAGATGAAAACGTTTAAGATCACAGAAGTGATCTTGAGCAACACTGAGAATGCAATTTGTTTTTACAGTCCCAGCCTACTCCTTATTCATTAGAACATACTTTTATTCCTACAAATCACAGATTTCTAAAAAGCATTTTCCATCACCTTTTCTCAAGAAAGGATTGCAGAGGTCTGCTGTGCCCACCGACTGGTGGGGAGATCCACCAGGGCTACGCTCACTCAAGAACTGACCCCACATTTGAGCCAAAGTCTCTAGAAGGGTCAGTGAACCGACACACTCCATCGCCAGGCTGCCACTTGTGTGGTTTATACTGGTTCTTCCTAAGAAGAACTGAAAACACGTGACACCACCAAACTGGTGCAGAGATGATTACTGGGATGACCACGCATGATGCTCACAGTTACAGTATGAAGACATCACTCGGAAAGAGAAATGTTTTAGAACTGAAAATGCTTCCACTGCATGAGGAATTAATGTTTGGGGTAACATTTTCACCCCTTTATTTCGCTTGACCGAATTTGTTCTGCTGACAACGCTGTGTGTCTCATGGACTTACACAGTATTATTTGCATCGTGATCTGGGAAAACGTTGTCCCTCTGCAGCCTCCCTCCAGGCACTGTAAGAATGGGTTTACAACATGCAAATCAAAACTAGAAAGGCAATTAGGCAGAAAAGGCAGCTACATGGAGCGTGGCAATGCTTGGCACGGGTCTGCACAAAACCCTTTACATTACAATGTAAGGAGTCAATGCCATAACCCTCCACTGACGTTTTGCTCATTAGAATTTGCACTAAAAGAGCCAGCAGTGCTCTTGTGCTGTGTGGTTGTCTCGGTGCACGTGAAGCATCACACTGCTGTTCCGAAGAAGCTGAGCAGGGTTCAACCTCACTAATGTTTCGGAGGCAAAAAACGAAGACTGAAATTCTCACTTCTCGTCTGCACAGGTGGAATGAAAGAACAGCCACCGAAACCTGGCAACGTGCTCCCTGCTCTTCTGCAGAGATGTGACAGACCTCATTTCAAACGGGATGACGCCGTTTTAAACTCTTTACCTTCAGAGGAGTCGGAGTCTTTCTGCTCAGAAATATTACTCTTGCTGTTGTTTGCTGAGGAAGGCGGCGGCTGCTGTTCTGCTTCCTCCTCTTCTTCAGAGTCCACACTGCCATCGTGATCTCCATTCTCAAGATCACTTTTTGACGAACTCTCTGAGGTCTGAGATGCTCCGAATCTACATTGCAGAACTCAGAATCAGAAAAACCCCTTACAGCAGGCAGAAAAACCCTTACGGCAGCCAAAAAAACCCTTACAGCAGCCAAAAAAAAACCCTCTAGCAGCCAAAAAACCCCTTACAGCAGCCAGTTCATCCCTCACCTGCTTCCTCCCTGCCCCAGGGAGAAAGCACAACTCGCGAGCCGGCCGAGCGATGCTGAGCGCCTTTTACAGGGCTTGTTTTCCCCAAAAATGCCAAGCTCAGGCTGGCAGTAGCGGGCACCGCTCCAGGTATTCCCACTCGAGCCCCCCAGGGCTTTACTTGTCAAAATGCATGTGCAGAGCTGTACTGGGAACTGTGCTGCAGTGACACATTCGGGGCTGGAGATCGCTACGAGCAGACACGAGAGTCGCAAAGGAGGGCAGCAGCAGTGCGGCAACAACTCTGGGCACGAGCAAGACCATCGGTTCATCTGTGCTACACAAATAGAAGTGAAGGTCCTGGCCATTTTCCTGTCTCATTTGATCATTTTCTCAGAATTATAGAAGTAACTTTATTTAATAACTGACTGTACCAAAGGGATGAGGAATTGTAAGTGATTTGCAACGCCAGCGATGCACCATGGGAGCTCACTCGTTCTCACGCAAAACATGACTTTTCTTTTTTTAACGTTTTGAAAAAGAATATTCTGTCTACTGCTCTGTCTTACAATTCTTTCAACCTCCTGCTCTCCAAGTATGAGGAAGGGACGAGGTTCTAGGTACGTCAAACTCAGGGTGGGGGTTTTGCAACATCTTTGACAACAGGCTCAGTAATCAGGTGCTTCCATCATTCCTGCGTTCCCTCAAACTGAATCGTGGTTCCACATTCAAGACAAACCACCACCTCTTTTTGCAGAAGTGTGCCATGGAAAGTATTCTGGTTTATGTCAGAAAAGGGCCTCGCAGCACATAAATAATAAATTATAATAAAACAATTAATAATAAATTATAATAAAACAAAAAATAATAAACCAATTAAGTGTTTAACTGAAATACACGGTTCCATGGCATTGGAGGGGGAAGGAATAATCGATCTTTTCTCTCCACCTTACCGTGTTCTTGATTTAACTTGGGTTGCATAGGTTATCTCCTTCTCTTCCCAGATATCTTCTTCCTCCTCGTTATCATCAAACTGCTGGATCCGCTCATTGCAGCAGGCTTCAAAGAGGGAAGCGTTGGGCTAAAACAATATTAAAAAGAAATCAAATTCCACCCATTCTTTGGAGGCAGAAACAAGAACTTCAATGATGAGGAGGCTCACAGAGCTGCATGTGTTCACAGCCAACACCATGAAGGTGCCTGTCTTTATTCCACTGCACATTCCAAGCTGTGCACAGGCAACGTTCAGCTGTGGAAGAGCAGGAACAGCAGAACAGGCTCCAAAGCAGCGAGCCCGTGACAGATCAAGAAAAAAACACAACAGTATCCTCGACCTACACCGCTTCCGGAACAGCAGGAACTCCTGCACGCTGCCTCACTGTTACAGGAATCTCTCTGCATCCCTCACAGCAGCAGGGACACAAAGTCACTGTAGAAGAGGGCTGGAAAAAACAACCTTAGGAATACATTTGCAAACTGACCAGCCTGGAACTGGGGGGAATAAAGGGATGCCATGCAGGCAAACTGTCCCGCCTGGATCCACAGTGCAATTTCTTTCGAGGGCTGCATCGTTCTCGACAGAACTGCAGGGAGCTTCTCAGCAAACAGCACAACACTTAACTCACGTGCACACCCCCCTCCACAGCACACAACCCGCCACCCTGGCAGTGCCAGGCTTCAGAGCGGTGGAGCAGGTGTGTGCACCAACACACCCGGGGTCTGCCCGTCTGAGCAGTTCCAAGATGCACCAAGTGGTGCCTTCCAGATGGTGCACAGCCCGAAACCACAGCTGCGCTTGAATTCCATCACACACAGCAACTGCCTGCTCAGGAAAAAACCAAGTTAAGAGGAGCAGATAAACAGCTCCTGGTGGCTGCAGCCTTAGTGGACACATTCAAGAAGAAAACAAATTTTCTGTATCTACAGAGCACCGCCTAGAGCAGCCAGAAGAGAGAAGAAAAACTCTCTGCAGTACTGTTTAAGTTTAAAAAAAATATTTTAAGACTAAAGAAATCCAAGTCTTAGTATTGGCAAAAACAAGCTCCAGTGACATGAGCCTGGCACCACCTCTTTTAGCCACTGCCCAGCTCCTGCACTGAGCATGGATTTAGGCCAATAAAAGAGAAAAGGCAAGAGGCAGCGTGGCAATGTTTACACCCACACGAAGCCCAGTCCTCTACTTGCATTTTTTTCCCAGTCTGTGTATGGAACGATTATCAGAGTGAAAATAGGACAACAGATTCACACGGGAGGTGGGGGGCAGAGAGAGACAGATTCCCCCAACGGAGAGAGTACGTACTACTGCGGAGGCTTCTCAACAGTGCAAGGAAACGCAGGGAGATTCTCCAAGGGTGCATGTCGTACCCCAGTTCCTTAACTGGACTCAGCTACGAGCCCAGTTACCAGTTTTTGTTTACCAAAATAACATACCAAGTCGTTTTCCTTTCAAAACGACAACAGCCAATCCAAGCACGACCCCACTTGCCAGAATCCGCCCGATAAACAATAAACATGGATAAACATCCCAAAATACCCACTTACACTGTCGTCATCTGCGTCTATATTGAAGTTGATCTCTGCGATCCTGTCGAAGGGAGCGCTGCAAAAAGAAGGGAAAGCGGCGTCAGCGACGGCACGGAGTGACAAAGCCCCTCTGCAGCCCCGACACGACACCGGAGGGCAGCGAGCCACGGAGACGCTTTGCACGACCAGCAACGCCTCCTGCACGCGAACAGTCACGTCTGCCTCATGTGCAATGGTCTCCTCTCCCTGAGGCGAAAGATGGATGGGGAAGAGCAACTGACATCATCTACCTTGACTTATCCAAAGCATTTGATACTGTCCCACACGACATCCTTGTCTCTAAACTGGAGAGACGTGGATCTGATGGATGGACCCCTCGGTGGATAAGGAATTGGCTGGATGGTCACACTCAAAGAGTTGTGGTCAACAGTTCAATGTCCATGTGGTGGCCAGTGATGAGTGGTGTTCCTCAGCGGTCAGTACTGGGGCCAGTGCTATTTAACATCTTTGTTGGCGACATGGACAGTGGGATCGAGTGCACCCTCAGCAAGTTTGCAGATGACACCAAGTTGTGTGGTGTTGTGGACACGCTGGAGGGAAGAGATGCCATCCAGAGGGACCTGGACAGGCTCAAGAAGTGGACCCATGTGAACCTCGTGAGGTTCAACAAGGCCAAGTGCAAGGTCCTGCACATGGGTCGGGGCAATCCCAAGCACAAGCACAGGCTGGGCGGAGAATGGATCGAGAGCAGCCCTGAGGAAAAGGACTTGGCAGTGCTGGTGGGTGAGAAGCTCAACATGAGCCGGCACCGTGCGCTGGCAGCCCAGAGAGCCACCCGTGCCCTGGGCTGCACCCAGAGCAGCGTGGGCAGCAGGGCGAGGGAGGGGATTCTGCCCCTCTGCTCTGCTCTCCTGAGACCCCTCCTGGAATACTGCGTTCAGCTCTGGGGTCCCCAATGTCAGAAGGACATGGAGCTGCTGGAGCGGGTCCAGAGGAGGCCATGAAGATGATCCAAAGGTT